ATGAATGGAAAACCTGACTATAAGTAGACCATTCATATGCTTGAGTATAGGGACTAATCAGACCCAAGCAATCGTTGTCCTCTATAATTATGATCAAAAATTGATAAAAAATAATGTAATTTAAAAATCAAGAAAAAAATCAGAATTAATGTCGACTAAATATAGGAAAAGACGGACAAACTTGATATTTTATATCCACGATAAACACAATCCAATAGAGTCTTGATCTGAGGTTCACAAGTTAGCAAATATTTGCCCCTTTGAACCATCGATGAACACCGAGTGGTCTGTTGATGCAAAACATCCCAAACATTTGGCATTAATTCAAACGCTAATTGTTTTAAATTATAATAAATGAACACAAATTGGCAAACCTTATCGATATGATTGGACTGATTATTTAAGTCAATCATCTCTGGCTTATAGTCTACGTCCACATCCACTACACTCTCCGACTTGACTGATGTCTCGAAATTGTTTTGCATTTACAAAAATAATAACACTAATAATAATTAGTTAATATTACATATGAGAAGTCATTCAATTGATTATGAATTAAAATAAAGCGAAATATATATACCGTATATACCTATTGCTCTCTATATTCCTATCTATGATTAGTATAAAAAAAATACAAAAATATTCTCATTTTCTTGACTTTATATGTCATTCATTAAGCAATAAATGTATTTCAATAGTGTATTATGCGTTTTTGCATTAATGATTGTAAGACTGCACGCAAACCAATAATTTTTAAATTTCAATTCTATGCTTAACTTTTGAGTTCATTTTTTAGGTTTGTTTTTCTGTTTACTTATTATAGATTTTTTTCTTGAAAAATATAGGTTTTTATACATAGTTTATTAAATACATTATCAAACCATCTGATTATATAATACTAGATTAGTTGATAGATTAGATATTAAAACATTGCAAATCAAAACAACAAAAACCCAATTGAATCTGTATTTATTGATTTGTAAATTAATTTAATACACTTTAGGGTTATTATAATGAAACTGTGTTTAAATGTAAATTCTGTCCCCTTTTATATGTTTGGCGCAAATCTAGTGTTAATTCGATATAATTAATGATTAATAAAATATTCATCGCTTTAAATATACAAGAGATAGAGTAGAAGTAGTTTTATTTCAAGTACTTTTCAATGATTTTTATTAAAATATACTTAAAAATAAAATTTACGATATTATTCATTCAAATTATAATTTTGATTATTTTTGAAATTTATTGTTTTATAGATTACATCATATTTGTTAGATTAAAATATTATAAAATTATAATAAAATAAACCATAAGTTATAGCACAGTATTGTGTTGTATTGGATTAGCAAAAAAGTTGTGTCGTTTGTAATAATTTACATTATTTGAAGGCTAAAAATATCATTTCATTTCACTGTCATTATAACAGTAGTGTTTAATAAATCATTTGTGAAGACGTGTTGTCATAAAATATGCCAATCATACAAATTTTTATTGATTTAAATATATAATTACATGAGAATATTGATGATCTCTCTGAGCACAGTAAATGATATTTTTACTATTGGTTAACTCATGTGATTGACAATAGGGTCAGTTAGGCTTTGGTAATCATAAATCTTGTTAACCGTATGAATGATATAATTATGACTATGTTTGGGAAGAAACAATCAAAATGTCATAACAATCCCTATCACTCTGGGATTCGCAGCGATTTATCTTTATGTTAG